CTTTTATGTTGTTGTTGTTTTTTTAATTAACACACTCCAACACAAAAATATCAATTCAATCCTTCAGGCTGTGTGACGTATACAAGAGAACAACATTTCTTTATATACACACCAAAACAAATTAATTTGCATGAAATATATAGTTTATATGATTTAAACCTATTGTTACCCATAGTATAAGTTAGACTTGTTGTTTCCACTCGTCTATATCAATTTATTAAAGATAGCAGAGAGAGTTTTAAGTAACTTCAACAAATTTCAAAATAAGAGGGTTTGGGTGGCATTTAAAAAAAATTTATAAGTAGTCCAAATTTTTGTTCCTATTTTAAACTGGGAAAAAAACTGTCTATAAGAGAGGTCAGCACTGTATAAATTCTTTTATACAAAACATTATATATACTAGCAGAAATAGCCTCCTATAGGCGGCTATTCGTGCTAGTAATTACTAATCATAGCATTCATACCTTTTCGAAAAAAATTTAGAAAAGTTAATATTTTTCTGGGAAGTACTGCAAGGGTAAAGTGTTCGGATTGTTCTCTTTAGTCATAGCAACTCATTGCATCAAAATGATTCAATGTACAGAGTTCAAAATTTTCATACATTTTACTGATTTAAACTGTAATGTTATTATATGTTATAAGTGGTACCATTTATTGAAAAAATAAGTTTTATAAGAACTCCACTTTTTCAGTACTTTATTTACAAATTACATCAATACAGATATAATCAAACCCTCACATACAGTCATAGTGAAAGTTATGTTCTTGTTATGAGGAGAGCACTTTTATTTTAAATTGTGGTCTGTGATAAAGAAATGGTTGTTGCACATAATATAGTCATTTTTCTAATTCTCTGAATCTTGAACACCCAAAATGTGAAATGATTTTATGGATTTTTGTTTAAGGTGCCATTCAACAGATGGCGCCACATTAATTATTTCAGTCCCATACATTGATTGATACACATACACATGCTATGTCGAATATAGTAAGATGCATATATATGTGTGCATGATGTAACATTATATTCATGGGGTTACAAAAAGGTTTTCAAAATGATGTTAAACTATGTAGTACTTGTGTAGAAACTTGGAGATATTTGGTATTTATTTAACGTTAACCAGGACTGAACAAAGGTGATTTTAACACCATCTGAATTTTGACAGCATTATGTCCTCTGATATTTCACTTACTGTGGTGATGATGATATAAAAACCTGTGATTCTGATACACAAACTAAAAACTAAGGTTTCATGATTAAATATCTTAAATGATACCAGGGATTGCTCAATTATTCTACTTTTAGTTCAGTGGATGCCATACAATACTGCCAATTTAATTTTTTTATTACTCAGGTTAAGCTTCGCATTACAGTAGCATTGATGATCGAGTAAATTTATTTTATAAATTTCTTTGTCTAGATAAAATGTACTTATTTTTCTGATTATAAAATAATCTTAGTCATTGTCATAATGTCCCTAAGCAACAGAAGGATAAGATTACACAAATCTGATGTACTATAACATAAAGGCAGGAATCTACCCTAATCTCACACACAAGTACCTACAACAAGGTAGCACTTGGTTGACCATACTTTGGTTTCATGTGTATTAAATCTGTTCATTTCATGAACGAACATATCAAGATATTCAACCATTTTACTGCACAGACAAATTATTAATCATTCAAGGAGATTTTTATTCTTTTAAAATGAGTACACTTATTGAAAATAAGAGACTACATGACTTAATCCCATTATCAAACAGAACTGTTGAATGCTTCTATACTCAGTTAAAACAATTAGCTACAATATGAATTTTATTGCACAAGTCTTTCAGAATGAATATTCAGCCATGATGCCACTTAGAGCAAGAATGTTTTATGATAAAGATGCATTCACACAAAAGGTATTTAAAACATACGTGTGATGCTAATTAGTGAAGAATGTTTTATATTAAAAATGTAATCTTACAGAATGGCCAATTCTTTAAAATTAGCTGTTATTCTGTTTAGTGTGATAAATATATAGTCACAAACAAAGTGTCATTCCTTTTGTTTACCCAGTTCATGAAATTCCATCACAAGATTCTGATTACAAGTTTAATGTTGTAGATCATAGAACATTTATTTATCTATCTATCAGACAATTTATCTTCTTTCCTGAATAATTAAATTTTCAAACACAAAGTTTAATGGTTGCTTATCTAACTTTGTTATGGTAAGATACAGAACCTGTATTAAATAATCCATGTAAAATATATTTTATTTATTCCCTAGCAATCAACAATCTAAATATCGAAAGCTTTATTCAACCTTTAAAAACAGTTTTAAGTGCTGTCGAGAAAATGGTGATAGTGTGATCCACTTTTAAGTTAATAACAAATGAAACAGGATTCAAAGTCTGGTTCCCAATCTTGAATGCTAACAAAGTGTCCAAAAGACAACTCCTCAGTGAAAACACAAGGACAAGGGGGGGATAAATTCAAATTTTGGCAGTGTAGGAGTCGTTTGCAGTTTATACAGTATTACTTTTCAAACAGGGTGGAGGAGGCAGAAAATTTAACTGAGTTCAAGAAAAGATTGGATGAATATATGAGTAGTAACGGGTGGTTATGGTTAGGAGCTCAAAGGGACATCCTTGATAGGCTAATAAGCTTCTTTTTGTCCCTTTAAAATTTTATGAAAAAACAACAACCACGAAATAATGTGTGTTGTTTAAGTGCATTTCACTAAACCTGACTTGCAGAATTGATATCAGAAAGAATAAAAATAAATTATGGTTAATTGACCTCAAAAGGCAAAAACCACACTGATATTCAAAGAAAACTGAGATCCAGTCATGTATTATTTAATTATTGAGTTTTTCTGAACAGACTTGGGGACTGTTTTAAAAAGTAAATGTTCTTTTCATTTATTTTATTTTATATAGCTGACACTTTATGTATGTTTGACTGGAAACCATTTTTTCATTTTTTTACTGCATTAAACACTTTTGCAAGATAATTTACATACATAATGGTAGCATAAAACTATTAATGTTGTTGCTTAATTAAAACTCTCATTGTTTGAGAATGTTTGGATTTGAATACCAAGATACTACCAGCATCCATAAATAAGCTATTCACTCCTGGAAACAATATCAAACAGTTTTATCCGAGTCATAAAGTGTATTTTGTCTTTAAACGATCTGTCAGGCTTTAGTTTAAAAAAAACTCCCAATAATTAGCCATTTATTAAATATTCAATATTTATTTATTTCCAGTAAATATTAACTATTTATATTAATATTATAACAATCTATTTTTGTGAATACTCAGAAGTATTGTCATTTTTACCTTTTGAGTCTATTATAGAATCTTACTAATTAAATGATGGGAGATTTGTATTAAATAAATGTTACACTCCCAAGGTGTATTTTATTGCACATTACTCCAAAACAAAACCAAATTACAAGGACACGAAAGACTCAATAACATGTGAAGCCTCCACAGTTTTTACTTTTCTCGAAAACTTGAACTTTTTTTTAGTTATACTAGTTATGTATCTATGTATATGGAGAAACAAAAAGAAATGATGAAAATCTTGGAAATGTTATCATAATATTTTGAATTTGCTTTAAATTGATTGGATATTTTTAACATGGTTCTTTATTAGCACGATAATCTAAAATTACATTTTCCCACAAAGATCACAGATTTTAATATTTTGAATTTGCTTTAAATTGATTGGATATTTTTAACATGGTTCTTTATTAGCAAGACAACTTAAAATTACATTTTCCCACAAAGATCACAGATTTTAATATTTTGAATTTGCTTTAAATTGATTGAATATTTTTAACATGGTTCTTTATTAGCAAGATAACTTAAAATTACATTTTCCCACAAAGATCACAGATTTTAATATTTTGATTCTCCAACTAAAAGAATTTATTATTACATTTCACCAACAAGCTATGATAACAATATATGTCTTCAACAAGCAAAGGTGAGTTTCATCTATTTCAACTAATTTGTTTTGTAATAAGTAAACTGATTACTTAAAAAAACAAGAATAAGGATCTGAAACAAATTATTTGAATGGCATGAAATTTTGGGAGTTATTAAAGTGACAGAATGTAACAAGCTCTTAGTTAAAACATATTGAAATACTATTAACGGAAACAGACTTAATAATGTTTCTATTTCATTTCCTAAATTAATTATTATTAGTATTTTGTGAGTTGCTACCACACATGAAAATATTTCAGGTTAATGACAAGATAGTCTCATTTTCTGCATGTTATCATGTATTACAATCAGTAGTCACTAGATGGCCCTGAAAATGCTGTTTGTGCTGATCTCTATTGGATATATTCTGAATTATGTTATCATAAACACTACAGAAAACCATCCCTATTCTATACTGTAGTTTCACTGAAATAACATACATCACATATAAATTCAGATATGTAAAATTTATCTATGGAGTATGTTTTGTACAGAAATATAACAGATCATAAAATAACTTTTGTTTCATTAATTTATTAGTATAAGCTATCAAAAAGCAAAATAAAATAAAATTAAAAAAAATTTTTTTTAGCTCATTTCCAAGAAACAGGCTGCACAGAAAAGGTTAAACAGAATCTGTATTTTTTGAAACTTCCAAACTTAAACGTTTTGAAAAGGGGGAGTCTAAAATTTGTTTGCAAGTTTTCACCTAGTAACAGTATTTCAACTACCTTTAAAAAATAAGCAACATTAGTCTCTAATCACATACAAAAAATATCATTCCTATGCTATAGTTTCATTATATTTTTAAAATAAAATTCAGAACAGTTTGTTTAGTTTCATTAACAAATAAATAATTTACAAAATATTCTCTTCCCCACTAAAAATGTTAGTCCAAAATTGAGAGCTTTATCAAATAAGCTTTTTGAAACTATAGCACATGGCTATTAAGGTTTTACTGCCAAGTTTAATCTGTTCATGCAGTTCTCAAGATATTATATTCCTACTTACTGGAAAAAAGCCTGCTGGTCCCATTGGACCACCTGGTATACCTTCATTAGGTGCCATCTGACCTAGAGGACTGGGTGCTGTTGTGTTCTGGAATGAAATAAAACCATTACAATGTCAGATTTATGTCACTTTAAGAGTTTAATGGTACCTAAAGTCCCCCCCCCTTTTTTATAAAAGAAAACTAAAAATATCTGCATTTGTTTTGTGTTGAATTTGTATCATGATTTACTTTTGTGAAAGAAATACACCTCGTATTTAATTGCAGACACCTCTACAATCAACATTTTCCCTTCGAAGTTCGTGTTGCACTGAATAACCATAAATATATAAACTTCTAAACATTATTCTTTTTATATAAATTCACGTATAACACAATTACGTTTTATTTCAACATTACATAGAAGTATTGCATTTTCTCTTCACTAGATGACGCCACGATCGTAGCTTGGATGAATCGACGACACTCCCGAATAAAATTTTGTACATTGCGTGGGTGGAGATGTTGAAATGCCTGGACGAAGCAACTAAAAGTCATCACAATACTGTAATATTTATAATCGCCCTGTCTTATACAAGGCATTTGAACGCTATACGTTCCTAGCTTATATTAACAACAAACAGCACGCGCAAAGTTTAGAGTACTATGTTGTTTTTTTTACAGTTTACTCAACAAGTTGTCCTGATAATAACACTTTACAACAATGTCGCTGCCATATAACTAAGCTTTTATTATTCTATTATAATAAAAATTTTAAAAACTTTTTTTGCCGAATTTGTTGCGGTTTTTGCTACAGCTTGTTTAAAATTTAAAAGAAGACAAGTTTATCTTTTAATAACACTCAAAAATGCGACGTTTTCGAAAAGATCCGTAATTTATTCAGCTTAATATACGTATATGCAACACGTACTTTACAGGCAAAGCTTATTTGGGATAAAACCTCTTGTACAAGTCAAAGCATATTTGATCCTGTTGTTTTTCTCAAGTTTATCATGGCCAGGTGGTTAGGGCGATCGACTCGCAATCTGAGGGTCGCGGGTTCGAATCCCCATCCCACCAAACATGCTCGCCCTTTTAGCCGTGGGGGCGTTATAAGTGACGGTCAATCCCACTATTCGTTGGTAAAAGAGTAGCCCAAGAGTTGGCGGTGGGTGGTGACGACTAGCTGCTTTCCCTCTAGTCTTGCACTGCTAAATTAGGGACGGCTAGCGCAGATATCCCTCGTGTAGCTTTGCGCGAAATTCAAACCAAACCAATCATGGCCAGGTTCCGCTTCTTCAGGATTCTAGACTAGCCTTCCTGGTTTTCTGACTGGACCGCGCTGTGATTAAAACTGCTAATACAAAGTGGATTACAAAATGGGAGTTCCACCTCTTTCAAAATTCAAGAGAAAGTATAATATTTTCTGAACATCCCCAGATTTACTCACAAAACCTAAAACTGGATCGTATTTCAAAATCCAAATTTAACCACTAATCCTAAATGAACAGTAATATGCTACTGTAGATGTAAAGCGGTGAATGTCGAAAAAGCCCCAGGATTTATCCAAAAACTTCTGTGGAAGATATGTAGTAAAATCATGTGATATGCTTATAACCACTTGGGAATTTACCCTGAAATGAATTCTATGCGGAGACGTGTGGAAAAATGGTTTATATATGGTGTTGATCGCCGCCTCCATACACACCAATATGGTATTGTAGACCATATGGCATAACGCATCGCAAAATAAGAAGTTGTCGGTTTGTTGAATTTCGCACAAAGCTAGTCGAGGGATATCCAAGCTAGCGGTTAATAATTTGAACGTGAAGTAGCTAATCAACATTATCCATCGCCAATTCGTGAATTACTCGATTTAAATAATGGGTTTTCTCCGTCGCTCTCGTAAACGCATCTATTGCCCCAAAGTGCAGAGCGCCATATTTATTTCTTTTTCAACGGTAACAAAGCGCGAACCACGGATCCATATTCCGGTACGCTAATAACAGGGCCGCGCTCGGTTTTAAACTATTTTAGAATAGAAGATTAACGAAAGACAGAAAATCCACAATTTCAACTTTTTTACGAGCGAATTTCATTGGTTTAAATTCGATGACGAGGAACCCACTTTGAGACTAATAATGGTTGGAGACGGCTTGAATGGATAATGAAGAAAAAATTTAATACAAGTTTAACATAACAGCAAATGTACAACGTTTCGACAAGGTTTTGTACCTGATGATGACAAAACCTTAT